GTCGGGAGATCTACAAAGTAGTTTTTTTTTTTTTTCCTCCTCTTGCTTACTTTTTAAACTCTTTATTTTTCTTTATTATTTTCTTCTTTTTTTTGGATAACCAAACCCAAAAAAATAACAAAACAGAAAAAAAAACTCCTTAAAAGTTTAAAGCTGCAGATTTTGAACACTTTTTGTTGCATTATTTTAAGGAATTAACACAAGACTGCAAAGAAAAAGAGATTTACAGGATTTTTTTTTTTTTTTTTTGCATTTAAGACAGCAGCACCTTGTTCGGTGTGTGTTGAATTTTTTTTTTTTGTAGGCTGCAGAGGGTCAGTAGCTGGGAGTTGCACCCCCCACCCCCTCATTATCCAAATTGCTGCACCTGGAAGCAGGTCTCCCAGGGTTTTGCATTGCTGCCTGCACGTTTTTTTTTGGATTTTGCTGCCTTTTTTTTTTAGTGTGTGTTCTAAGAAGCACTTTGCCCGACCAAAATAATGATCCTGCCTGTCTGTTTCCTGCTCACCCTGTGCCTGGGGATGTGTCAGTGCCTGGGCTCCTTTGTCCACTGCGAGCCCTGCGATGAGAAAGCCATGTCCATGTGTCCGCCGACCCCCGTCAGCTGCGAACTGGTGAAGGAGCCCGGCTGCGGCTGCTGCATGACCTGCGCCCTGGCGGAAGGGCAATCGTGCGGGGTGTACACCGAACGCTGCGCCGGGGGGCTCCGCTGCCTGCCCAAGCAAGGAGAGGAGAAGCCGCTGCACGCCCTGCTCCACGGCCGGGGGGTCTGCCTGAGCGAGAAGATCTACCGGGACCAGATCAAGATCGGTAAGCCGTTTCTCCTTTCCTGCCCAGCTGTCAATCATCTGGGGCTTCCCCGCGCAGCTGTCAATCACTCCCGGGTGCGGAGCTGTGATTGACAGCTGTCAATCAAAACCTTTCTCTCTCTTTCCTTATTTTATGCTGTTTCTGATACAAAAGTGAGTCAGCTCATTGAAGAGATGACAGTCTGTAACCTTCCTCAACCTTATCACACCCTCCTTTTCTTTTTCTTTTCTTTCAAGTTCATGTTAAGACATAATCTGAAGTGTCATGTGGACTTTGAGTCAGCCAAGCTCAATGCAATCCTTTTTATTTCCAGTGTAGATGAAACCTGCAAGTTTGCCAAAATGTACTGTCACACACATGTCACTGCTGCTAGGAGGGGAAATAGGAGTCATAATATTATCATTTGCATTATGTGTTGTAGGTGATCTATGAAATGTGAATGGGAGCTGTCCAATCAAAAGTGCAAGTCCCTTAAAGGGTTAATCCTCCATGGCTTGTGTTAGATATTTCTGACATTATCAAGATTTGTGAATGGGGGGTGTGTGCGTGTGTATCCTCTTTAAAAGTCAAGTCCATAGTTGGCATGCTCTTAAGGAGTTAATCCTCCATGGTTTGTATTAGATATGGGTCGTCAATATTCTTATCAGTGTTGGTGAATGGCAGCTCTTCAATCAGAATTCAAGACCATAGTTGACATGTCCTTTTTAAGAGTTGATCCCCCATGGCTTGTATTAGTTTCAATATTATCATCAAATTTGGGGAAGTGGGATGTCCTTTAAAAAAGTCTAGTCCATAGTTGATATAGCATGAAAGAGTTAATCCTCTATGGCTTGTATTATTACCAATATTTGTGAATAGAGGGGTGTCCTGTCAAGTCAGGTCCCTATTGGTCATCAATATTATCAGTGCTGGTGAATGGGAGCTGTTCAATCAAAAATTCAAGACTGTAGTTGTCATGCCCTTAAAGAGTTAATCCTCCGTGGCTTGTATTTTTAGATATTGGTCATCAATATTATCAGTGTTGGTCAATGGGAGCCGTTCAATCAAACTTCAAGACCATAGTTGACATGCCCTTAAAGAGTTAATCCTCCGTGGCTTGTATTTTTAGATATTGGTCATCAATATTTAGTCGCCAGTAATGTTTTGTGGCTGATGGAAGCTGAGCAAGCACAATTCAAGCCCCTTAAAGAGTTAACTTCGCCTTTTTGTACTTCATGCCCCATGCTTGCAGCAGATGCGGAGACAGTTTTTTGCACATTCAGACTTGAGTTGTGTTTACTAGGGCAGCAGAGCCCTTGTGTGGACCCGTCCCGGCCCCCCTTCCCGGCCCCCCTTCCCCAGCACTGTTGTGACTAATGCTAGTGAGGTGCCTGCACTGAGGAGTTGCATCATCATTTTCTGTTCAGCTCCCGTGGAATGCAGCCAGTCCCTTCTCTCCGGTCCCAGATGATTGAAAGGAGGCGAGGGGTTAACTTTTGCAAAGTCACGTTTAACTCTTAGCCTCCCGGGCTGCAGCGCTGAGTGTGGAGGAGGAGGAGGTGGGTGCTGGGGCACTCTGCCTGCGTGATGTCCTCTGCACCTAATCATTCTATAGGCTGAGAACCTTCTGTGGATTCTAGGAGAGCTTTGCATTGATTTTGCGGCGATTATGACCCCCTGTCTGCAGGAAGGCGCGCCGCTTGTTCTTTTGCTGCCGAAAACTAAAGGTCGTTGGCGAGGAATTTTCAGTTTTTCCGCCTCGCCATCCGCCGCAGCACACCTGTAATTAACCAGCAATGTATGCATTCCATAGCCATGTGACTGGTAGCTCAACCTGACCTTCGGAGGGGAGGGGGGAGGGGGGGGGTCATTGTCAGGCTGGAATGTGACAGATTTTTGGTGGGTGGGAGAGAGAGGAAATGGTTAAAAGTTTGCTCAGCTGAGAAATTGCACAACTCGATGGCCAGGGGATTGCGGGGTCCACACCTAAAATGTTCTGCGATTGGTGCCAGACGGGTGCTTTCAGCGCTGCGTCCAAAGCCAGAGAAGCTGCTGAAGGTTTTTTTTTTTTTTTAGCATTGCATTGCGGCCCGGTCACCCGGGAACGTACAGTGCTCCTTGTGCGTTCCGTTCTGCAGGTGCTGCATGTTGCATGCATAGGGACAATCGTTGTGCCCTGTGCAGGTTGCGTCCATGCCGGTGCCACAAATACAGCCAAGAAAGGTGCCAACGGAAGGTGAGTAGAAGTACTAAAATCGACTTTATTCCAAATTCTACAAAAAAATACAAATTCAACAATAACATTCACACCGAGCTTGTGTCTAATAAAGCTTTGTTTGTGCACGTGTGATTTCGCCCTTTAAGACGCACGTGAGCCAATGATGTGCGGGGCCACGCCTCTTTTAGTCTTGCTCATTTTTTTTTTTTTTCCTCTGCAAACCCAAGTTTCCCCAATTTTAAGTCGCCCCCCGCCACAAGCTGTGTTCACAAAGGCATTTATTTCCCCCTATTTATTTAGTTTGGGTTCCTGAAGTGGCCCCTCGGGGGTCCCTGGTGGGTCATGTTTCCGTCTCTCCCTAGAAGAATCCCGTGTGTCCCTGAAAGTGTTACAGATTAATCCACCTGCGCCGCCGCTCGCTTGACTTTCGGACAGCCCGCGGTATGAGGATCCGAGAGACGGTAATGGAAAATCTGGCCGCGCCAACATAAAGGTTTTCAGCAAATCGAAATAACACAGCGGAGTCTCGGGGCCGTGCCAAAATATTTCGGAACTTTTTGGTTTATTTTTGTGAAGCTGTGACTGGGCCGTGAATTATTTTCCTCGCGGTATTGTATTGCAGAAGGCCGAGGGGGGAGGGAGGGTTGCTCTTGAGGGACTACAGGTGCCAGCATGCAGTTAGTCTATGTGTGTATGTATGTACTTATGTATGCGTGAGAATATAATTACACTCATTTATACAACTAGCATAAGTACTTGATATTTACTTGGCATTAACGGGTTAAATATTTGCACAGCAGTAGAAGATGGAGGGGCAACACTAGAAACCAATCAGGGGTGCTGCAGTGCACATGTGCTGACAGGAGAGAGGAAAATAATGACTCATCAGTGCTGCTGCTCTTTCACTGTCCAATGACAGGGTGGAGGCGGGAAGGTGACCAAAGAGAGGAGAATGATGACTCGTCAGTGACCAATGAAAGGGTGGAAAGATGACCAAGGAGAGAGCAGAATGATTTCTCATCAGTGTTCTGCTGCTCTTTCACTGTCCAATGACAGGCTCGGGGTGGGAAGGTGACCATGGAGAGAGGAGAATGATGACTCCTCAGTCTTCTGCTCTTCATTGTCCAATGAAGGGGTGGGAAGGTGAAAAAGGAGAGAGGGGAATGAAGACTCATCAGTCTTATCAGTCTTCTGCTGCTCTTTCACTTTCCAATGATAGGCTGAGGGTGGGAAGGTGAGTCATCATTCGCCTCTCTCCATGGTCACCTTCCCACGCCCAGCCTGTGATTGGACAGTGAAAGAGCAGCAGAAGACTGATGAGTCATCATTCTACTCTCTCTCCATTGTCATCAGTCTTCTGCTGCTCTTTCACTGTCCAATGACAGCCTGGGGTTTGGAAGGTGACCAAGATGTATTGTGTTACAAAGAATCATTTATTATAGTACTGGATTTACCAAGATGTATTGTGTAACTGCAATAGAGAAAAGTCTGGTCACCACCCTGTTTGCCATGACTGTATGGACAGAAATACGAGTGTTTTGGTAAAGCGGGGCCCTATGTGTATTTGCTTGGAGTTTCACCTGCACACGCACTGGTTGCTGGTCTTGGATGGGGCCTTCTCAATGTCCAGATGCGAAATTCCCAACTTGTCCAGATGTTGGACGGGCATGTTGGTTCTTGTAGTTCTTCAGCATTTGGTGGCCATCTAATCCCGTCCCAGGCGTTCCTGGTGCTGGTTCGCTCTAAACGTTGGCACCCTCCCCTGCTCTTGTAGAATTACCGATCATGACCCATATCCGGCTCTCATGGTGGCTGCAGCGACGTGGCCTACCGATGTCCGTGTCATTTTAGTGCGGGGACTTGGCTGGTCACGAGGCCTGCGCACTCCAGAAGAACCAGAAGGCGTTTAAACTTCCCCGCGAATTGGTTCCACCTCCATTATTCCTGGCGGCGTGCCCTCCTGAGCCCTGCGAGGAGTGACAGTCGGGGACAGCTCAAGCGGTCGCTGGAAAGTGACAGTCCTGACGCTGGGAGAGTTCTCCAGCCCGGGGAATGTGACATTTCTCCTTTTTTTTTTTTTTTTTTTACATTATTTTTGTTGGTTTCAATGTTGCAAAATGGTTATTGGCACAACCTTGTAGCAAATAATGTGTTGTATCTCCGCAAAGCCGAAGTTTAATCTGTTTATATTTTGCCTTTCCCCGGTTCCTCCTCCCAGGTGGAGGGGTTCCTATTGGTCTGGGACATCCTCCATGATCTAAAAATTCAGTGTGATGACTTGACCACCAGGGGCGCTGTTCCATCAGTACACAGGGGGGAGGCAATAGGGCTCATCAATGACGCAGATACTGGAGAATGATGTTTTTGGAGATTCCTGTGCGGGTTCCCTCGCCGGCTGTGTGCAGGAAGTTCCTCGTTCTTTCTCTTTCACTTTCTGTTCCTGTTAGTGGCTCTCTGCTGACTCATCACCAGCTGACAGTTCCTTGAAGTCATTGAATAGGCTACATGCAAATTCTCCAGCCTTAGCAAAAAGCGGTGGCAGGGCCACTCCTGCCTCCTGGTGGAGCTGTTGGAGGGTACCCCCCAATTTCCTGGTCACCTTTCACCAGCTTCTTTCTCTCGATGGCAGTGCCAGGCTTGGATTAAATAGCAGCCGTGACATTTAAAGCACATCAGGCTACATGTATGGGACTCCATCCAAACTTATTGCTGACGTGTTACCATTAATGCCAGCTCGATATGATTTAGGTGACCGAGAGAACATGAATGACGGTGCTTGACTAAAAGGAGTCCGGGCAGGCCA